TCTCATCTTCAATATTATATAAAAACAATGACAAATGTATTTATTGAATATAGCATAGATAAAAACTCTACAAATGTATCCTAATATATTGCTGAAAAGGCAAAGACAAAAACCAGTGACATAAGGTTGCATCCAACCTAACAATGACCAAGAGGGTTCACCAGACACTGTTTAACATGCTGCACAGTAAACACAGTTCTTGTTGCTGATAGAGTCCCTGGTATCTCATCCTTCAGCATAATACAGTAAACTCCCCATTATCTGGCATCCACAGGGATTGGTAGTTTCCGGTTAAATGTAGTTTCTGGTTGCTTGAGAGTCACTATTAAAAATAGGTCAAACTAATGCCATACTATACCATACCCATAACATAAACTCTGTATTGACTTTATATTCATATTGAAATGCAGTAATCAAAAGCACACTTAAAACAAATTAAGGCAAATAGGCACACAATCGTTTCCAGGATAATGCATGCCGCAGATCAGCAGAACGGTGAGTACACAGGGGATTTTTTTTATGGTTAGATGAGAGTTCTGATTAGTTGATTACCAGATAACAGAGGGTTTACTGTACTCCATTCAGCCAATGTTTATAACCCATGCATGTAACAGAAGAACTTCAAAGAGAAACCAGTCATAGAGAGAGCAAAAGCCATGCAGGATGCAAGTAGAGACGGCAATAGACTGGCATAGACTTGCAACCTACAGACTGGGCAGAGTGCAGGGGCGGGAGGGGACGCAGTACATGATGTCAACAATCGATTACCAGGGCGTGGGACAATTTTGGGGGGACTTTGCAGGGGGACCAAAAATGTGTTTAATGGGAGGCCAAAGTTCTGCTTTAAATACAATCATATAACCTATTCTGAGCGCAGTATTTTTCTAATGTATATATGTGCTTTATTTTAAGAAAAGTCAAATTGACCAAATTGAAAAAAATTTTGACCAAAGTGTCAGCAAAGTGGAGTCAAGGTACAAGAACAGAATCCAGACTCTGATGAATGAGAATTCAGACTTAAGGTACAAGAATTATATTGTATTTTAAAGGTTAATGATAGTTTGGTTGTGCCATAAATGTAAACATTTGTAGTAATACCAAATGTCCAGTAGGTGTCATGGCAGACTGATGATAACAGTTTTGCAGGCGTTCAGCCTGTTGAAACAGACCTTAAAGGGGTTCTAAACCCTCCGGTTTTTTTTGCTTATATCTATTGCTAGCATGCAGTAGATATAGGCAAGAAATGTAAAAAAAACAAAAAAATGCTTGAAATCATTTTAAACTTACCTCGTTATCGCTGCTCGCTCCCGCGCCGAGAATCAGGAACTGCTCGTATGGCCGCAAAGGATCTTGGGGCGGGCGCATGTGCAGTTCCGATTCTCGGCCGGGAGACGAGCAGAGACGCAAGGTAAGTCTATGGACGCGTGCACCCGCCTGCAGACACCGCTGGATCGGAGAGACAGAGCAGACAGCGCTGGATCGGAGTGACGTCACACCGCTGGAGGGACAGATGAAAACATGGGGAAAGAAGAGGAAGATCAGAATAAGAGACATCATTTAAGGTAAGTGCTAACATTTACATGGGGGGAAGGGAAACATTTTTTGCCTTTATTATCACTTTAAGATGAATTACAGGTGTGTGTGTGTGTGTGTGTGTGTGTGTGTATAAATTCAGCTCAGTATTCATTAATACATCATCCTACCAATGTTTCAGGCCCTTGGTATCAGCCTCTTCAGTCCCTAAGCCACACAGTTTAGGGTGAGCAGAACATTCAGTACAAGGAGCCTATCCATTAATGTATTGATAATGAGCATGCTGATAGGAGGAGAAAGCAGAATGACAAAGAGAGGAACTCTTCAAGGTGTTGCTTCTCCTTCAGTGCGCTGTCACAGGCCAGGTCCATGACAGCCTGGGTTCAGAGGAACTGTGTTAAGTGATGCTGATCAGCATTCAACTAAGAAGACTTAGGCTATCTAGGCCAGCTAGGCAGATGCCATTCACATGTTACCACTGCCCCTAGATGGCATTGGGGAGTTTAGTAGACATGTGCGATTCGTTTTGGACCTCTTTCCCACAACCCTGACTCTGTGATTGTGGGGGTCTGCAGGCAGGGGGGCTTACTTGCATCGGGGTACCCCTTTTATTAGGGGGCCCAGATGCCACCGCCCCCCCCTTTTGAATTAGTAAGGGGTACTTGTACCCCTACACATTACCTAAAGGGTTAAAAGTACATGTAAATAAACACGCCACACATTTTGAAAAAGGGCTATCCCGATGCAAATAAGGCCCCCTGCCCACAGACCCCCACAACCATCAGGTCTGGGTCTCTCCCAATGCCGAGGGCACATGGCCCTCACAGGGAGGGGCGCTCAATCAATTTCCCACCCTCCCCCTTTCCTGCCCTGCCGGGCCTGTGCTCAAATCAAGGGTCTGGTATGAATTTTTGGGGGGACCCCACTTTCCCTTCTAAAGGGCCTGGTATCAATTGAGGGGGGACCTCACTTTATTGGGGGTTTTCCTTTTCTGCGGATTGTAAAAAAAAAAAAAAAGTCATTTTTTTTCTTTTGTCTAAGGTCACCTTGCTGCAACGTACATACTACCGCTAATGAAAATTCAGATTTAGTCTGAATCCTGAAACGAATTGACTTTCGGCACCGGGTCCCAAAAAACAAAATAACTTAAAATCTGAATGAAAACGAAACACATTTTTTGTCGGCGCACATGTATAGAGATTAGTTCCCAACAGTGAAGAAAAAAGGGTTTAGCTAATCGTATTTTACTTATTAATTCTTCATGGTCTATGTAACTGGGGTCTTGGTAGGAGTGCATCCTTTGCCTAAGCAGTAAAGCTAAAATATGCCCCTTTTTTCCATCTCAGAAAGTTGGGGGTATGAATGTTTTTTGACAAGCTTTTTACTCTATGTACATACTTATGCTCCTTTTATACAAACATTTTCTTTTTTCGTTTGTTGTGTAATATGAGAGAAAAATATTAAATCTGATTTTCCGCGTTGCAAACACATTATCAGTGCATGAATGTATTTTATTTTCCATGGCAATTTATTTAATGGCAATAAAATGCTACGTTGTTTTATTTTAAAATCTGCTCCTAAGAGCATAGATGTAAACAAGACAAAGGATATCAAATGGGATTTCTTCTTGAAATGTTGCAAAATCCATGCTTTGTACTGAATTCTGACTCATGTTATACATTACTGCAGGAAAATATTCAATGGGCCCATATTGTGTTTAAAAGATATGCTAGTATAGTGCCAAACCTACTAGATTAGTTCAGAATAATAGATGTTGTCATCAGAACGCCATGTTGGCCGGCAGAGATGATGAGTCAATGTGCAGTAAAGTGTTGATAAGAAGTTCTATGGAGTTTTTGAATATCCTTTTTTGAACATGAGACAAATCATAGCTATTTCATTCTTATATTTACAGGAGAAAACTCATCACTAAAAACGAGCAGCTTTACAGTGAAAGAAACCGAGATTGTCCTGGGACCTAGCTACCGTGTTTCCCCGAAAATAAGACACTGTCTTATATTTTTTGTGGCTCAAAAAACACTCGCGGTCTTTTTTTCGGGGTAGGTCTTACTTTTTTTTTTTTTTATGTATAACAATCCAAAGTTATTGCAAATCCAAATTAAATCATCCAAAATGGCAAAGTTAAGAATAGGGTGATCAGGGCAATCAGGGGTGCCATAGCTTTCCAAGAGCAATATGGTAACCAGAATGAGCAAAGCGCACTTTCACTATCGATTCCTCACAGGTGGAGTGCATTTGGTATCACTCCGCCTGTGACAGGAGCCGGCGCTATAGAGGAGGCATCGGCTTATGCGGCTCTGCTCCCTGCGCTACCGCCTCGCTTCCTCTAGCGCTGGCTTCGTTGGCACCGCTGATTCTCTCCCGCAGTTCTTCAAGTTCCCCCTTATGCCACCAGCGGCCCTGGAAATGGTCACAACTAGGTCTTATTTTGAGGGTAGGTCTTATATTTTAGCAATTCCCAAAAATAGTACTAGGTCTTAATTTCAGGGTAGGTCTTATTTTCAGGGAAACAGGGTAGTTGGATGTGCCGGAAAGCCATATCAGGAGACCTCTCCTACCACATGCTGGCATAGAGCTGCCAGAGTTGGAAGTATATAGACCTTTCTGGGTATACATGTGGCACTATCTATTTATGCAAAGTACTATTTATATTTACAAAAAAATTATTTTATAATAAAAACTTTGGCAGCAAGCTAGTTATTTACATGTATGTAGCGCTCACCCCCAAAGCTAACGAATTTCGGAATCAGAAATTCGGATTCGTTTGCATTTGTTATATCTGAATGTCCGAATTTACAAAATTTCGTCCGAAAATCGATTCAGAACGAACTGAACTGCACATGTCTAGTAGTAGCTCACTGTTCTGTCTTTGCGGTTGTAAGCCATGAAGTAAGCTTGTTTCGCTGGGCGCATGGAAAAGGATAGCACTGGGTTTCCCCCTGTACCACCAGAATTTAACATGAAGGCATTGGGGTCAGAGGAGGAAACAGATTGCTTGTAACCTGCCCCCTCCCTTCTCTCTATTTACACCAGAAATGGAAAAAAAAATGAGAAAGTAGTAACACAGCAGAATATCGAATATGATACATGAGGCTGGAAGAGTGAATATTTTTTGCACAAGAGCATTAAAACTGTGACAGAATAGGAGTTACATTTTCTGATAAATCTGTATTCATGCCAAAATTGTACAGAAAAAGATTTCCCTTTTATACTGAGAATTCAGAAAAAAAGTCCCCAAAACCTTCATAGCATACAAGCTTCTAAATCTGCAAACATTGTTGCCTTCCTAACCATTCCATGGCGGTTATCACAGCTAACATCTTTAAAAGACCTAGAAGGTAGGAGCTAGGATGTTATGGGACTCAGGCCAAATATCACTTCCTGTCCTGGTCATATTTTTTGTTAATAGACAAACAACAATGGGGCTCTATTATTTGGTCTGTGTAACTGAATTCACCCTTCTGTTACTATAACCTTCCTGAACCTTTCTGCGGCAACCACAGTCTGTCTGTCTATGAACATAGAAGATGTAAAGCTTTTTTTTTTGACAGCTTGTGCTTTATTTCTGTAAAATGTGTCAAAATATACAGTGTATATAAATATACTGTATATAGAAGATGCATATTCAAAATTTGTATATAACTCTTCAAATGATGCAATTTTTGAGAATAAATTCCTATATCAGTTATTACATTTGTATGTGTATGGACTAGAACAGACTTGTAATTGTAAACATATAGCTTATTTATCCAATGAATCGGCATGTATATTTATTCTGTGCAAGTTAACCTTAAGTAATTTCTCTTCTGCCCACACTTTCTTCAATTAGGAAAATACCACATTTTGACCACTAGAATGGAGCTAAGGATCATAGGAAATAAATGCATTGTATCTCGTTCTATATAAGTGAACCTAATGAAGAACATTTGATCCGAGGAGAAAATACACTAAGAATATTAGTTTTTCTGTCATTCTTACAATAGCTGTTTAACTTGCACAGAACGAGTGGCCATGCAAATGAATAAGCTATACCAGTTTATTTTATAAACAGACCCCATAATGTTTGTCTTATATGTAATAAATTCTGTTATATTTTTTACATGTTATGGCCTATAAATTATATATTGTCTTAGTGTTGCATTATGAAAATACTTTATTTACATTTCATATAGTTTTATTTGCTAAACTTAAAAAGAAATCATTATGTCTGAATAAAAGTTTTTAGTATAATAATGGTTATGAATTATTTAAACTGTGACTATCTGTATACTGATATCACCACTACTAATCCAACCATAACCACTATATTGATATGCCTAGTACCATACTTCCACTACCCAATCAGGTACTGCCATACATCTTTGTTCACGATCAGCATATACCAATATCACTACTAGCAGTCCTACCACTGTCATACAGTGTCACCTCTACTTACCCACTAAACCCTTACTCTTCTGCCCATACACCCATATAGCAATTTGTCTTTACCAACTCTACACCTACAGGTGAAACTCGAATAATTAGAATATCGTGCAAAAGTAATTGCAGTAAGTGCTGCAAAAGGGGCCCAAACCAAGTACTGAGTACATATGCATGCTTGTATTTTTCAGAGGTCCCATATTGTTCTATGTACAATCCTTGTTTTATTGATTGCATGTAATAATCTACTTTTTTGAGGTTGTGGATTTGGGGTTCTTGGGGTTTACATGAGCTGTAAGCCATAATCATCACACTTATGACAAATCACGGCTTGAACTATCTTGCTTTGCATGTAATGAGTCTATCTCATATATTAGTTTCACCTTTTAAGTTGCATTAGTGAAATAAATGAACTTTGCACGATATTCTAATTATTCGAGTTT